ACCAGTTATGTCGCTTAATTGGAAAGTTACTGTTAGTATGGAGTTTCCATAGATGTTTCTTTTTCGGGTGACTTTTTTGTTGTTTTGCTAATTACTTTTTGTTTAAACTTTGTGGCATCTTGTACTAGCAATAAATTTTTGTTTTCCTTGTAAAAAATCAAAAATAAAAAGAAGAATTTATATACATTAAAAATGTTAGTCATATTTTCGGGGAAGAGGAATGAGGCTTTGCTTGGAAAGTGGTTGTGTAGATTTCAAACAGATATGGTATGCTGTAATCTGAAGTAAATATTGGCTGCAGGAAAATGGGCCATTAATTTTATATATTCTACTGAATATTGTTACAATATTATAAAGTTTATGATTCATATTAACACATTTTTGTTGAAGTATAGCACACTGGAGTTATATAGTGCCAAGACAACCCTAATAAGAGTTATAATGTGCAACGTGATCCACAGTACTGAATATTGTACTTGTTGAAGCGAATATAATGTGTAAACATACTGCTTACACATACGGATATAATGCACAGGAGTACAATTTTCATCATTTTTGCTTGTAGTGCCATACACACATAGTAAATAGAGAAAAATTTCTGCTAATACTTGTTGAAGTGAACAATGAAATATGTTCTTATGGAAAATTGATAGTGGGAATGAGTTGGATTTTCTGTTAAGTTCGTTTCTTATTGCCTTTCTGTTGTGCTTACCAAATAAATTATTTGGTCACAGGTAGACAATGTATCTTCCATCCAAAGGAAGACATATGGGCTAGCCCTTTCAATAATTCTGACATTAAGACTACCTCAAGTCCTCAACAAACTTGATCAGATCCTAAGGTATGAGCTTCACTATGAATTTGGTCAATCATCTGCTTCCTGATTAATAATCAGTGATTATTGATGATCTTTCTACATTGTGAAATGATGCTTATTTACACATGCAGTGTGTGTACGACTGTAATTTTGGGTGGGAACGATGACTTAACAGAGGAATCGAGGTTAGATCCCTTATGATTCTACTTTGATGTGCTTGCTCATGTCTGAGAACTATTTTACCATTTAATTTTTCCTAATGAACAACAGTGGTGATAACATAAGCTCGAGCGGGTCCCTTAGCAAGGTTACCATTCTGAGTAAAGAATTCAGAAGAAGACAGGTAAACAACTCCTTTCCCCTTTTTGGTCCTCTGATATTACTTATATTTCTGTAGTCCAAGGTTATATGAATCCATGTGGGGTACTATTTCCTGATGAAGAAGTTATATCCCACTGCAGCTCAAGGTTTCAGACCCTATCAACCAAATGTCTCTAGAGGCTTCAGTGAGGGAAAATCTCCAAACATGTGCTACCTTTCATGGAGAATCTTTTAATAAGGCGATTGGTTGCATGCATCCCAAAGCATTTTCACAATTGAAGCAGGCATTAAAGATGGAGTAGCTGGCTTTCTTACTTTTTTATTTTCCCGATCGATTGGTGGTTTCATACTCATGCTCAACGCCCTTCAGATTTTCTCTGTTCTCCAAATATTGGGTGAGTTCTTCTACAAGGTGAAAGGATCTTTCCACCAAAAGGTAGGAAATATTTTAGGGGGATGGAAGTAGCGTTGTGGAAGTAAATAATGTGTTGAGCTGATCTCAATATTGTTTTAGATGCATGCCTTTCTAGTAGTGCACATACACGGCGATGATCATTGTCAACTAGTTTGATATATTTCTTTATCAATATACACAGTTGTAAAGCTAGCGTCTAATGCCATATAAATTCCTTTCCATTCCAGGTGAATGAAGTTTGAAGCATCGTGATTGATTACTGGTCACCCGTATTCATTGGTTTTCATAGTTTCTTGGGCTGGATTTTGATGTCCGTTTGTGTCTTGAATTTCATTTGCATTGCTCTTAGGCAACAAGAGAGACTCTATATAGATTGCCAATCTTGTCACTGCATGTGAGAAGCATTCATTCACCGAGGGAAAAAAACACAGCAAGTGATTCATTCTCGAGTAACCAATCCAGCTCTGATATGATGATATCCCCTTGTTATACGCTGCCTAGAAAAGATAACTTTTTCGTTTTTTTTTATTTGTTATTTGTTAGAGATAGATCTGAGGGCTTTGGGAAAGGCGTGGAAAATTTACACGGAATGGAATTATACTATTTTTTTTTTAAATTGTTTTCATTTTGTGTACCATACAAACTATATTATTTGTTCCACATCCTTCGTCGCAACCCATACGTATTGAATGATTGAACGTTAGGGAAAATTTAGAAATGTTGCGGATTGTCATTTTTAAGAGACCGTCTTCCCACCATTAGGGAAAGATAAGAACCTCAACCTTTCTAAGGAACGATGCGAATTGTCGTGAACGAATTCCACTTTATCTCATTTAGATCTCCTTGCCCAAGGATGGAAATTTTTCCCGAAATTTCCAAATCAAATCAAAAAAATCCTGATCCCATATCGAAAAATTCTCAAACCAATAATACAAGAACTTTCCTTACCTAAGAATGGAAATTTTTCCGAAAAATCCCAAACCAAAGCAAAAAAATCCTGATCTCATACTAAAAAATTCTCAAACCAATAATACATAAATTTTTGGGACTCTATACCGAACTCGTCCCAAACCTTTCGGTACAGGAAACTCGAACCAAACCGAAAACAAATATATATATACATGTATATATATATATATGTATATATATTTAGTTGCATGCATGTTGAATATTGAATTTAAATAGTTTGATAATAAACTATATTAGAAACAGAAGTACGAAATTAAATAGTTTGAAACTTTGGAACATCAATTTGACTTGGTATGAATGAATTGGTATTTAAATTGGTACAAAATTTCAAATTGGTATGAGGTAAAAAACCTAGATTTCAATTGATATGAAATTAGGTAACAAAATTTTAGGCCAAAAGTCCAAATTTTAGCCCATACCCAAAAATCTTAAATTTCAGCCTAAAAGCCCAAAATCCAGTCCCGATCCATCCCGAAATGCCAAAAACATTTTGGGAATACCGAAATTTCAGTTCAGGATTGGTCTTTAAATTCTTGTCCCGAAATTTTTTGGTTTGGTATTCGGGATCTCATTCTTGGTTTGGGATCCATACTGAACCATCCCCACCCTTACCGCACTGTCTAAGATTGAAGTGTGACATATCCTAGATCTTTAGAGCATTACTCAAAGCATACTTAGTGCTTTTACTAATCTAGTGAAAGTGACGAGATCACATATAGCAACTGCAAATGTGCCTTCAAAGATAAACATACCAAATGGGCGTCGAACCACTATCCCAAAAGGACAGGAAGCTATTAATGTGTATTGGACATCCCTCAAAAGTAGGTTGCCGCACCTAATGGTCGATTCTAGTACAGTGGCAGCTAGCCATTCATATGCTCCCACCTAGAAGCATGGCAGACATGTTGGTTCAAAGGATTTACAACCTCAGAAAAGGAAACAATGGCACATACTAGTGAAACTAGTGTGGATCTGACCATCTCCTACTCGTCATATCTTGGAGGTCAACTAAACAAACCTTAGTTGCGACTTATTCGAACCATACTAAAATTATCGCCCTACATGAAACCATGCGTGAGTGCTTCAGCTAGCAAAGAGCTATTGTTGAGTATATTCAAAGTAATTGTGGGCTTTCTTCCGCCGTTAATGTCCCTACAACGATCTATGAAGATAACTCTGCATGTATGGAACATATCAAGAAAGGATACATCAAAGGAGACAACATCAAGCATATTGCCCCAAAGTTCTTCTTCTCCCATTAGAACCAAGAACACCAGAAGATTGAAGTCAAGCAAATCCGATCCCAAGACAACCTAGCTGATCTCTTCATAAAACCTAATTGAGGTAAATTATACACCCAACTTTTATTCAAAACCTAATTAATTATTTATATATATATTTTTTATATATCTATTGCTTGGATTTTAAACTATGATTGGTTTTTGTGAGAAATGAATGGGAAAAAAAATTTCAAGGGGACATCCTTATTTTTGGACTTTCTCCTATGTGAAACGGATAGTTAGGCCTCAAATCTTCTTTTTGAAAATCAAGGTACTAGCGGATACATTTTTTTTACCTGGTAGTTATATTATTGCTTTTATATGTATTATTGACTCCATATTTTGGTATACAATCGGAAAGGAGAATGTATGTAGCATAAGTGGTTGATTATAATTTTGGGTTTTGTTCTTTCAAAGTTTCGGACTTTGTACAATTGTTGCTCCCATTACCTGGTGAGACATTTCAATCTTTTTTATGCTCAACTTTTTAGTATTAATTCTCAAAATTTTGCCTTCCCTGCTTCTTTCCCATGTTCCTTATACTCAAACATGTGTGAGTTTGTATTTTTCTGATCGATTATACTATTGGGAACTTAGTTACTTTTATTTTTATATATATTGCATGTACAAACAAAATATATGTGAACTGCATGCTACTTCTATTTCTTATGCAAAGACACTGTATTTTGTCATTGCAACTTTTGTCACAGAAACTTTCAAATTCGTCATTTTGATTGTATATTGGCTCTTGATGTCAACTTAATAGAATGTAAATGCAAACTGAACTGCTTATTTTGTCTAGATTGCTGCATTTGAGAATGTGATTATGTTGCTGCTGCTCTTTGAGTGAATTTTTCTATGGGTATTATTCATGGTTGTTGTAGATTGTAGTTTGAAAACCCGCACCAAAGCGCAATCAATTTTTCTAATTACATCTATACTAAGAAGACATTCATGGTGTAGCGATCAACATTACTAGTGTAATAAACAATACAAAACCTTTTTACAACCTCACCATTATTGTTTAACGTTGGAGAAGAAACTTATTATTGTTTAACGTTGGAGAATAAACTTGACGATTAAAAAGTAATTTAGAATTTCTCTTCACAGAGTAGTGTAGAATTTCTCTCAATTATTATGGAAAATTCCTCCCCTCGCCTGTATGCATGACAAGAAATTAATTAAGGATACAAATGGATACGAAGCAGAAATGGAACTATTATTGCTATAATTTGAAGAAACAGTGCTTCTTAAAGAAAAAGAAAGAACATACACGTAGATCTGCAACAAAGAATTGTGATTCTTTTCTATCCCATAGCTGGAAATTAATTAATCATTCGATTAGTAGTAGGGTATTTCTGGGGGAGGAGGAGATGCATATGACACTCCTATAACTGGAGGAAGTGGCGTGTTTTCGAACGGGGTCAGGGGAGGAAATTGTTGATGTGATGGTGGTGGTGGTGGAGGATGCCAATGTTGTTCTTTCGGAGGTGATATTGGTGAGTGGTGATGGCTTGATGGTGGCGGTACGAAGTTTAATACCGGTGATGGCACAGTATGCTGGCTTGGTGGTGGTGGTGATGGTGATGGTGGAATCACACAACCGGTGGGTGGCAGAGGAATCACCGGATGTGATGGCTCACTTGGTGGAGGAGGAGATGGATGATTTGGGGGTAGACTACTCATACCTGTGCTTGTGTGTGGTGGTGGGGTTTTTGATGGATAATGCTCGTGTGTGGGTGAAGGAGGCGGTGTTGTATAATGTTCATGTGTTGGTGGGGGTGGAGATGCACATGGTGATGGCAGTGGAGGTAGCGGAGGTGGTGATGAAGGTGGAGATTGTGGGGAAGGTGGAGGCAGTGATGAAGATGGAGATTGTGGTGAAGGTGGAGGTGGAGGTGGAGGCGGTCGACTTGTATAACTATGATAGCTTGGAGGTGGTGGGACGTTGGTTGAGCGCTGTTGAGGTGGGGGAGGCGTGTGGGGCTGATAATCGGGAGCTGATGCGTGCTGTGGTGGCGGTGGCGGCGAAGCATAATTGTAATGATAGCCTGGAGGCAACGGCGCCACCATATCATGTTTAGAGTGAGGTGGTGGGGGCGGAGGTGGTCTTAGATGGGTACTTGGTGACACCACTTGGAAGGGTGGTGGCGTCAGAGTCCAATGACCATGACTACTGGATGGAGGGGGAGAGGGTGGAAGATGAGTCCTGGGTGATACTCTTTGATTAGGTGGTGGCGGAGGTGAAGTTGGTGAATGGTAAGTGGGCTTTGTATGGGAATGGGAATGGGAGGGAGGAGGAGGTGTCGTACGAGGCGCCACAGGCGGAGGAGGAGAAGGAGAAGAAGAAGGCTGTGATGGTGGCTGCGGAGGATGCGATCTAGTCGAAGGCGATGACTCTGAAGTCGGGGGTGGGGGTGTGGGTGGGGGTGTTGAAACCTGAGGCCTTCTTTGAGCAGGCGGCTTATTCCGAACAGGCGGAGAGGGTGTTGAGACCCGTGGAGGCCTTTTATTAGAGCCGTCGCGGCCTCCTGGACTGCTGCCTCCGCCTCCACCGGGATTGCCGCCGCCGCCTCCAGGACTGCTGCTGCTGCATTTGAGCTTGGTGCAGTCGACGGGACGTGCAGCTGGGGAAGCACATTCCCTTGCAGATCTCTGATCCGACTTGCCACGAATGCAGTTCTTGCGACCATGGATTACATTATTTTTGTTAGAGATGGCAGCACAAGCAGGAGCCTCTCCAGTGAAATAGTTGAAGGAATAGGTAAAGTTCTGCAGCTGAGGCAGCTGGCAAACACTCGCCAGTATGACGCCGGTGAGTTTGTTGTGGGCGACGTCCAGCTGCTCCAAGCTCTTCATGTTTTTGCCAACGGTGGAGGGAAGAGGACCCTGAAGCTGGTTGAAGCTGACGTCCAAGACGGTGAGATTGGTGAGGAGGCCGATCAGGGGCGGCAAGCAGCCGGTGAGGTTGTCATTGAGGAGGATGATCTCGTTGAGGGTGTTGGCCATCTTTCCAATGCTGGCTGGGATGCAACCGCCGAGTTTGTTGTTGGCCAACACCAGCACAGAAACCGGGGAGTTGCCGAGATTGTGGGGGATGCCGAATCGGAACCTGTTGTCGTTGAGGAAAACAGCGTCGAGATCCTTGTCGAAGAGCTGGGAGGGGACGGAGCCTTCGAACTCGTTGAAGCGGAGATCCAAGTACTTGAGGGAAGGTAGAGACAGCACTACTTCGGGGAAATCTCCGACAAAGCGGTTGTTGCTGAGGTCGAGCTCATGGAGCATCTTCAGGCGGTGCAGGGTGCTTGGGACAACGCCACAGAAGCGATTGGAGTTGATGTGGAAGAGTGCAAGGTCCGAGAGGAGGCCAAGCTCCGGAGGGAGGTAGCCGGCAATGTCAGCGTGGTTGAGGTCAATGCCAGCCACCACGCGTCCGCCGCGGCCTCCAATTGAATTAGGAGCAGGAGCGCAGTATACGCCCATGTAGGAGCAGACGTCGGAGCCATTCCAGGTGGCGGTGAAGTTGAAAGGGTCGGAGAAGATGGAGGACTTCCAAGTTTGAAGGGCAATGTAGGCTTGGCGAAGCCTTGGGTTCTCAAACTGGAGGAAGCTTGGATCTACTTCTTTGACAACTTCATCAGTATCAGTAACAGCAGTGCTAGTAATGGCGGCTGCGCAGGCCAACAAAACAAACAGCAGCAAGGAGGAGGAGGAGGAGGAGAGGTGCCTCCTAGAATACGGAGGAGGAAGAGACATTGGCATTGGTGAGTGAGATGGAGCAGATGGCAGGCAGACAGTCAGTCACATGTGTCTCTCATCTCCCCATGCTTTGTGGTTGTGTTAATAGAAATTTCATTTTTTCAATTGGCCTGTCCAATTGAGATTTTATATTTGATTTGAGATGAATTTCTTCTTCATTTTATTATTATTATTTCTTTTGGTGAACATTTTTATTAGAGTAAATTACATTTTATCCCTTTCAGGTTTGATGTCGATTTCAATTTCTTACAACATTTTTAAAACATTTCAATTTCATATATTTACTTATCATTTTATTTCAATTTCTTACATCCATTAGAAAATTCGTTAAATAAACCGTTAAGTGATGACGTGGCAAATATGTGATCCACATTTGGGCTGATTGGCTATCAAATTTGTGCCACGTGGTAAAAAATAATTTTTTATGCATTTAAAATATTATAATAATTTACCCTTAAAAAAAATAAAAATTAAAAAAACCAGAATCCTAGAACCCATCTTCCCCCAACCCACCTCCCTCTCCTCCCCTCCTCCACTTTGTTTTATTAGGTATTTAGCCACGTGGCACATAAATGGTAGTCACATATAAATGGAAACCATATATTTGCCACATCATCACTTAACAGTTAACTTAACAAATTTTTTAACGGTTATATGAAATTGAAAAAAAAAAATATTCAATGTATGAGATTAAAATGTAATTTACCCTTTTTATTATTTATTTTCAAACTTCCCTTAGAGTTTGGTTTGGTTTGTCATTCATTATTATGTTCATTTTATGCAGATGCAGACTACAGTGAGGTGAGCACGGCTGTAAGTAGATATGCAATCATGGTTGGTTAGTGGTTACAGACTTACAGTGGCTGTGAATAAATTTAAAAAAAAAAAAAAAAAAAAAAAAAAGATTATCAGCCAGGGAAAGTTGAACATTCGATTTGAAATTTACGTGATATGTAGGGGCATATGAAATTATGAAACATGACATGCTGGCACGTCTCTCAGATAGATTTCTTTTAGAGAGAGAGAGCTTCTTTCTTTCTCCCTTGGTCTGTCCTGTATGGAGAATGGTATGCAATTTGTAAAGTGTAGACGAAGTTGTGACTTTTGAGTCCAGCTAAAAACAGTGTTGATGGTGGTTGCAGCATATTTACTTACTTTACGTGGAAGTGTTGAAGACCACCACTAATCAATGTGTTCTGCTTTTGCTTGACTTGCTCACAACGTGCCAGCCACCCCCACCCCCACCCCATATGCTTTTTTCAGGGACGGCTAATGAAATGTCCCTTACCAAAAACAAAAAACAAAATTTATCCAAAAAACATTTTGACAATTTTTCTTATTATTAAGGAGATTTTTATATTGTAAAGACAATAAAAAAAAATGGAATCACACTTCATAATGGCTTTTGTTGAGAGTATAAATTTTATATCAAGAAACAAAAACAAAAAAAAAAAAAAAAAACATTGCATATACTTGTAAGTAATTGGCTATTATTTGATTTTATATTAAACATCAGCTTTCTTCCTGCCCTTTTTGGTTGTTTACTTGTTTAGGTGCTAAGGAAGAAGGGGTGAAGGTACAAGGGTGGGTCCCCTTTAAGGATAGGCAAAATACTTATGGATTTGGGTAATCGTGGTTACCCGTCTATTTAAAGTTTACGGTTACAGTTATGGGTAACTGTTTAGACGAACAAACGGTTATGGATATAACCGTTAATCCATGAAATTTAAATAGGCAGTTATGAGTATTACCCGCCATTATAACAAGTATTCATCGGTTATGGGTATTACCCGCAGTTATAACGGGTATCCATTTACCTATTTAATTTAATATATGTAAAATTTATAATATTTTTAACTATTATAACGCGTTTATGTATTTGTTGATACACTTTTCGTATACAAAAAGTTTGAAGCACAAGAAGCCAACAAGGAGAAAGATCAAAGAGCTGACTTGAAGCTTATGATCTATTTTGCGCTTAACAGAAAGTACTGGTATTAGTGTAGAAGAATGTTTGTTTTTAGAAACTTTACTTTGTAATCATATGGATTATAATTAAAGATTTGCTTGGGTGTAGCAGAAAAATATCGTTCATAAATTGTTATTTCAATTATTAGAATTGTATGAGGACCTAAATGATTAAAATAGGGAAATACTTGCTAATATGTACCTATAACGGTGTTTAATTGTCAGAAAATGAATTTTTTTTTTTTTTTTGTAATTTTCAAGTTGTTAAAAAAAACATGTAGACGAGTTAAAAAAATGGGTAAATGGGTGTAAAAAAAAAAGGATAAACGGGTTCAAAACGAGTAAATGGTTATGGATAAACGGGTTCAAAACGAGTAAATAGTTATGGTTAAATGGGTAAACAGTTATGGTTAAATGGGTACACGATTATAGGTATGGTTAATCATTTATAAACTGTTATGGGTATGAATATAACCTTTTATGCAATTATCCAACGGGTACATGGTTATGCGAGTATGAACATAAATAATTATGGGTAAATAACCACAATTACCTGCTCGTAATAACCATTGTCCATCCCTATTCCCCTCCCCTTGGAAACATTGTCTGCACGATCTCTAATACCTGTTCGAGTAAGAGACTTTTCCCAAACTAAAAAGCTTACATTTCAAAACGCGTAAAGGACGTGCTACCATGATTCATCATTCTTGGCTCCTCATCTTCGTTTTTGTTGTCTTTTTTTTTTTTTTTTTTTTTTTTTTTTATAACAAAACAAAAACAAAAACAAAGATGAGGAGACTGACAGTGATAGCAAACATGGCTCCTCATCTTACTTTTTCATTACTTATAAGTATTTCGTCTTTCACGCACATCTTCTATTAAGGTCATTATATCAAATTCGACGATTAATTATTTGTCGTCTATGACTACTTTTAAGTACTCAACTCAAGAAGAAACTGAAACTAATGACAATATTTACTTACCATTCAGCATCTGATACAAGAAAATAAGTATACTAGTGATGCAATGGAAAGATACTACGTAAGCATTCAATGGACAAATTAAACCCCCGACACTATGCATTACTTCAAGAGAAAATCTCTCGATGCTATGAGTTCCAATCCTTGATTGGTAGTCGTACTCCTATAAAATTGAAGTAAAATTTGCCATATGGGGGCCAAAATTTCCTCTTTCGTGGCAAGGATGGAAAAAACAAAACTTCAATGGTGATTACTACGAAACCCGCAAATATGACCACCATAAAAAATTTCTGAAAAAATATATATTTATTGTTGCAATAATTGAACTAAGATACCTTCACAATAAGAGAAAATTGTAGTAAGGATCCTTATACTTTAACATAATTGGAGTAATGGTCTTTTAATTAAAAATTAATGATCATTGACCCTTAACTCTTCAAAATGTGCATCTATGGTCCTTTTCGTAAACTCTGTTAAAACGTCTGTCAAAATGATTCATATGCCACACACGTGAGGCTGAATCAAGAGGTAAATATGGGAAACGAAACGAGAAAAATAATAGTAATGATTCCTCAATTTTAACTCAATTAGAGAAATAGTCACTCAACTTTAACCAAATTAGAGCAATGATCTCACAATTCCCAATTGTAACAATGATACTTCCAACATGATTCATTTTGATGGAATTTTGACTGATGACGAAAAAGATCATAGATGCACATTTTGATAAAGTAAGGGATCAATGGTCATAAAATTTTAGTTGAGTGACCATTATTCCTATTAGACTAAAATTAAAGAGTTATTGCTATAATTTTCTATTACATAAAGTCTAATTTATAAGCATTTTCTTTAGGTTTACTCAGTACCCACGTGCTACAGCTTAGGGATACCACGCAAGCATATAGCACCGGTGCGAAATTTAAGTGGCTTTTGTCTTCTTTTAAGAAACATAAAGGTCGCAAGTACAATAACAAGATGTCAAAAAAAAAAAAAAAAAAGGGTTTTTAACCAAAACGGTTTCTGAGATTTGCATAACACTTCACGTTGATTCTTGAGATTGAAAATCAATAGAAATGGTCACTAAGATTGTCCACTATCCATTATGTTGGTCCTTCAATTAAAAACTCTGTTAAGTGTCCGGAAACTCTTGGCCGGAAGTTTGGACAATTTTCAAAGTTTCGTAACTCAATTGTTTTTTAACCAAATTTGACCCATAATATATCAAAATGAAGATAGGAAAGTGTAGAACAAGATTATACCATTTGGAAGCCCAATGGTTGCCAAAGATGGCCGAAAAATAGCCTGAAAGGTGACTAGTTTGCGAGAAAACTGGAGAACTCCGTTTTTTTTTTTTTTTTTTTTAACTTTAAACGTTCATAACTTCTTCAATACTCAATGAAATCGAGTGCTTCAAAAACAAAAATCATACTTCTCAACAAGATAAAGAGAATGGTACATTTTTCAACAGCTAATTCGTCGTGGTTTGACCAGAAAACGGCTCGAAAGTGGCTAACTCGAGACTATAATAGCCACTTTCGAGCCATTTTCAGGCCAAACCACGATGATTTAGTCTTCGAGAAAGGTACCATTCTCATCCTCTCGTTGACAAGTATGATTTTCGTTTTCGAATTACTCGATTTCGTTGAGTATTGAAGAAGTTATGAACGTTTAAAGTTCACCAGTTTCCGACGAGTTTTCCAGTTTTTCCACGGACCAGTCACCTTTCAAGCTATTTTCAGGCTATTTTCCAACCATCTCCGGCAACCATTGGGCCTCCTAATAGGTATAATCTTGTTCTACACTTTCCTTTCTTCATTTTGATATATTATGGGTCAAATTTGGTTAAGAAACGATTGAGTTACGAAACTTTGAAAATTGCCCAAACTTTCAGCCAAGAGTTCCGGAACATTTAACGAAGTTTTTAAAGGAAGGACCAAAATAATGGATGGTGGACAATCTCAGGGACCATTTCTATTGATTTTCAATCTCAGGGACCGAAGTGATGTGTTATGCAAATCTCAGAGAACATTTTAGCTAAAAAGCCAAATAAAAAACTGAAAACCAAATGGCTAGCCTCCGTCCTCAGCTCGTCATGGGATTGATGCACTTTCTAGCCAATGCAATTACATGAACAAACAAGATTTTAACTAAAATTCC